TTAAGGTTTAGGGCTTCCTGAAAACCCAGAGCCAATCTCCCAAAGATAATCTGATTTTTTGGTGAACCTTGCGGGAAGTTCCGGATTCAGATTTCAACCCCCCGGCCAGGGTTGTGACGTCATATGTAAACCACAACTCCCCCAGAGCCCCAGGGAAGGAAACCAGCGTTAGAGACACAGAGATCAGTGAAGATTTGCTCGAGAAAACCCGACAGCTTTCTATTTCTTTATTTTCTTCAGTTCGTTAGGAGAACATTTGCTTTCATTAAAAAAACAAAAAAACCAACTATTGTGTGAAAGGTCGGAAAAGGGTTGTAAAAGCGCACGGGGAAAGGGGGGGGGGGGTGCACAAAAGTAAAACAGAAAAAAAATAGTTGAGTATTTTTCAAGATAGCAAGATAATTGTCCTCCCCTAATTAATGCACGTTGCTATCCTCCAGAATACGTTTAATTTATTGAGGTACGGTAAATGGACAACGTTTGAAGACGTACTGTTTTAGAACACTTTAAAAAAAAAAGAAACATAACTTCGTTATTCGTACTGGGTTGTTGTTTTGCTGGGTTTTTTCCTTTATCTTAAACTTTAACAGACTGGCCAAAACATGCGTAGATCTACGATGTCATCATGGAAAGTTCTGTTCCCGATTTGTGTTTGATAGTTGGAAATGTTCCACAACTGGCCTTTTGTATGTTACTGATCAGACAAAATGTTTTCGCAACGTCCTTATAAAGTTAACCCTGTCTATGTCAATGAGAACTTTCTCTTGCAGTCATGTTGTATAACCTATCAGATAACGACTGACTCGAAATTCCGCCTATAGTGTAAGCAAAAGATTGCGTTGTTTATTTTGGATTGCAGTAGATCATTGAATGTGTTCGCTATAACTTTATTCTCTCACCAATGTAAGGTGTCTTCATGGGGCTTACTACTTACTGGAGTGTCTGGTTTTGTTTCGCCATTTCTTTTCTGGGAATTTCCAACACACACACACACACACACACACACACACACACACACACACACATGCACACACACACACACACACACACTCACACACACATGCACACTCACACACACACACACACACACACACACACACACACACACACACATACACTCACACACATTTACTAGCCAGTTCTCATGAAGTGAACTGGCCCTTAATCGAATCACAGACTGGGCGTTCTCGAACTCTCGAACTTCGGTTGGTTTGAGGAGTTTTTCAAGGATCTCAACCCATCTAGCTTGGTCCTCTAGGAGATAAACGTTAAATTCGGAAGTTTCGCCTTTTAAATAACCTAACTTTGCTGGTATGGACGTTAAACCCACGCACTTATTTTAATGAAGTGAAATGCTTTTGTCCCTTTTGAGGATTCTATGCTGGCTTTTATTATGGATGTTTGTGTGTGTCGTTGGAATAGTCCGTGAAATTTTATAACATCCCTTTTCAAAGATAATGGGGTTTTTTTTAACGTTTCTTCTCGCCCCTCAACTCGAACCTGATACATGTGCACACGATGCCTCTATTTCCTTTACAGCACCAGTATTATTTTCAACTATTCATAATTATTAAAATTTGTCAAGTATACCCACTATTTCACTTCAATAAAATATCGATGCGTAAGAAATAATTCATACACCTGGTAGCCTGAATCATAATTTGTTTACTATCCTTGCTTGTATGTTGGACACTACTTTTATCACATTCGACAGCATAAAATGAGTGCAGTTTAATTGATACTTTCTATGAATAGAACAAAACTTAACAGTCTTGTTATATATACTGGTTATCAAGACAATTTCTGTCGAAATATTTCTGATGAAAATAAAAAATAAAAAGAAATATTATACACGTAGCATTAGTGATGGCCGTGCATGCCTCCCTTGATGTGATTCCTTTGCAACACCGTTCGCGAAAAATTACCTACAAAAGCAGATTAATCTGGCCTTACCTCTGAATTTCATTACTGAGCGTGAGAAATTAACGCACATCTTCATCAAAAAGTGCCAGATTTGCGACAGACATCGGCGATCGTGATTCTCTATTTATTCCTTTCCTCGGATGCTATCAAAGGAGGTTACGTTGTCGAGATCTTTCTCTGTCACCCATCTGTTTAGGTTCTCAAAGTAAATTGCCCTGGGTCTACCCCTACCTCGTTTTCCGTCTATTTTCCCAGTGAGGGCTAGATGTTCGGGGCCTTTGTGTCTATTCAAGTGTCAAGAAACTGCAATTTGTCTTTTCCTGACTGATTTTTTTTCCTCGAGCCACCTCTTTTGATGTCTTGTTCTTCTAAGAAGTTCTCAACATTCTCCTAAGAAACCCACATTTCTGTTGCTTCTATTTGGATTTCACTGTCTTTAGGGACTGTCCAGCTTTCACAGACGTATAGAAAAACTGACCCCGCCTAGCCTTTTAAAACTTTCATTTTGGTAGTCTCTGGGATGTCTCTCATTAAAATTTAATCCAAACTGTCTTTAGCAATTGCAATTCTTCGTTTTATTTCTGTTAAACATTTGGCATCAGATGTAATTATAGTTCTATATCTCATACATTTGAACGGTTTAATAATAATGTTTGATCCTTTCACCTTTACTTCTGAGTAAATAATTAAGATTGATTGCTTTTTATATAATTATTGCCATGTATTTTGTTTTCTTAACTTTCAACAATAACCTTTTACATTCACTTTCCGTTACAACAGTATCTAGAAGCAATTTAAGGTTATTTTCTGAATCTGCTATTAAAACTGAGTCATCGGCGTATCTTGTGTTATTCATATATTCGCAGTTCACTTTGAGACCTGGACCTTCTTCCATATTTCTTAGGATTGTTTCAATGTATTATACATGTTAGAGGTATTAGGCTACCCATGACATCAGAATACACTACACAATAACATATTTTTTTAATTCAAATAGGTGGCTTTGAAAAAACAAACTTTTCTGAAAATGTTTTCCTCTTACTTGTTGCTTTCCCCGAACCGCCTTAGCTAAAACTCCGTGTCATGAGATACAATGTACGTGCCGTATGATTTGTGAACCAACGCTCGTAGAAAAAAATCGTCTAAGTGAAAGTAGTATTAATAACAGGCGAAAGCTCTCTTGATGAAAAAAAAGGGATTGAACCCTGGGCTACTACATGTATAAGTTATGTTTCTCATCAAATAGTCCATCTAGGTCTGTATATTTCAAGTCGGTGTCTCTACTCGATGGGAATGAGGAGGAGTGAAGATGTTATTTTGAAACACTTTATAGCTTCATTACACTTACATTTACTTACACTTAGTCTTACACTTGCGATGTCAAATTCATAATTGTTTCTGCATCTATCTGTCTTGAAAAGGTTATTTCACACTACACCCACTATGTCTGTAGTCTTGACTTTTTGTGTAATTTAATATTGCTTGTCACTTTTGGCCTTCCCATGTCAGATTTCACTCATATAACTATGTCACATTTGAACCTGCTATGTCAACTTTTAATTATTTTTTTTACTTGGGGGGGGTAAGTGTTTTGCGGTGGTCGCAAATGGATAAGGTCAAGAGTGCGCGGGACACACCAGACATTTTCAGTTGGTAGGAAATGGAAGTCATCAGAGGTGTGGCTGAAACACAGCAGTAAGAACTAAGGAGTCAAGGAAATTCAGTAGAAAGGCTGCAGAAAGAGCCTGGAGCCCAGAGGAGGGGTAAAAAGAGGTAAGGGGGTGGGGTGGAAAATGGAGACGAAAGCAGACGACACAACATTATTAATTACTAGGAAAGGATGTGAAAGGAGAAAATTTTCTGTTACCATCCGGATTCGAACCCGAGGCCTATTGAATGAAAGGCGAACACCTGAACCACAAGGCCACGAGAACTCCCATGTTCACTTTTGAGGGGCAGATATTAGGCCTTATACTATTCTACAACAACATGAGCAACAGCAATTGTGCAAACATCATGTTAAGATTTTTTTCGCCCTCTAAATGAAGCACAATGTAGCCTTTTATTTAATTAAATTGAATGAATGAATGAATGAATGAATGAATTTATTTATTTATTTATTTATTTATTTATTTACTTTAGAAAGGGGAAAAGGGGGGGGGGGGTTGGTGGCTGTATTTACGAGCATCGGTTGTTGTTGTTATCGATCCAGTACGAGCATCGGTCATAATTGTTAAATGCTCTTCTCTCTGACTCTCTGGTCATTGTGAAGACGATAAACGAAGGGAAATAATACTATTCTAGTGACATAGCCATAGCATAATATAGGCCAACTAATTACAAAAGTGTTACCTTCTAAAAGGAAGCCCTGTTCTGAGGGAAAACCCAGCCCTGTTCCTGTGCTTTTGACTACATAGCTATGAAAAAGTGTAAGGGACGTAACTATGATATTTTAATGAACTACACAATACATTTGGTGGCTACTTCCCTTGCTTCAATGAAAACGGGGAAAACTGACTATAGTCCGATCATACGCTGAAGAGAGAGGGGGAGAGAGAGAGAGAGAGAGAGAGAGAGAGAGAGAGAGAGAGAGAGAGAGAGAGAGAGAGAGAGAGAGAGTTAGAGAGAGAGAGGGAGAGAGAGAGAGAGAGAGAGAGAGAGAGAGAGAGAGAGAGAGAGAGAGAGAGAGAGAGAGAGAGAGAGAGAGAGAGAGAGAGAGAGAGAGGAGAAAGTGAAAACAAGGAAGCTGTTAGTCAGTTATTAACCTAAAACCCCTTTTGCATGTTAAACAGGCCAGCTCCTCTTTGGGGGGGGGGGGGGGTGGAAGTGTAGATAGAGTTAGAACTTCATGATAGCATCTTAATTCATGTTTTATTTCAATTTTAAAACTATTTTCTTATTTTTGGTTGATAAATTTTATTTAACATTTTTAAAATACTTGTCTTTAATTTCGTGTTTTCTTACGAACAATACTATATAATAAGTGAGACGTTAAACTTCGTAAGAATAAAATAATAATTAATTTATAATAAACGAACGAACGAAACGATGAATATCAAAGGCACTCGCATGCGCAATAAATGTAAATAAAGAAGTAGTACTTCCTGTCCTGTGTGCATCGTTCTGCTGAATAAAAGCAACCGGTAAGGCCCCATAGCCCCATAGATCTTGAGCTCTAGAACTAAATCTAGATCTATAGAAATTGTGTCGTGAGCCAACAGCACAGGCACCAAGTGGCAGTGTCTTAGAGCTGGTCTGGCAATTTAATTCAAGAGTTAGATTAGACTCTAGAGTCTCAGACAAGGGCTGTCCTTCGTAACGAGCGACCACTATGAGCATGAGACAGAGCAGAATTGAGGCCTTGGGGTAGGGATAGTGGTAAGGGTAGGATTAGGTCTAGGCCTCTTCTTTATTGTGTTTGATGGGGTGGTCGCTCGTTACGGAAGTCCTTCCAATTTTTGGGCTCTAGATTTAGATCTACTTACTACAGTCGAACCTGCCCTGACAGCCACCTCTTTAAGACAGCCACCTGTAGATCTACAAACGGCCACTTTCCATTCCCGGCACTACTTGGATATGGTGGTCCTGACTTTGGTGACAGGGAAATATAACCCAGAGAAAATCTAGAATCTAGTTTTGACCCCAACAACGATTACTTCTAAGTCTAAACGATTACTTTTTTTTTCGCGTGCCGATATGGAGAGACAGACTTTCAAACCTTTGCCAAACATCAAATTGTGGTCAAATTCAGAGGGACATGCTTCCCTGAAACACCCCATGTTGTTGTTTTTTTTAAGTAAGGGGGGGCAACCCCCCTTGCCTTGTGAGAAACAAGTGAATTTTACTGCTCATTTTGTAGGCTAGATTAGATTTGGATCTAGGGTACTGATAAAACATACATTGATACGGACTATTTAAATCAGTATTGATATTTCAGTAGGCCTACACAAAAATCGGGACCACATCCAAGTAGTGCCAATTTTTGCAGGCAGAATCATCACTCCTTCATGAGTTTTATAAATCTAGGGGTGTTCAGGTGGGCATACCTCCATGTGCTTTGAAAAAACTGGCGGGGTGAGATGCCTAGACACTGACTTGCAATGCATGAAGTGATACTCATGGATAAAAAAAATTTGGAACCAAATTAAAAATTTGATTGGAGCTGAGGTCTGCAGGATGGTACGATGGGTGGGTGAGTTGGATGGCAGGGTGTGGGCGGATGCAAATAGTATGCAGTGGAAGGAGTCACCCCGTCCACTCGCTCGCTAAACGAAGTAATGTCTCTGCGTCCGATGCGTAGCGAGTAACGAACGAATTTTCACAAGCAGACTGCTCGTTACCTGTCCGCTCGTTTGCGTGTAGTACCACCGAACCATTCGTTACTCATGGACGCTGATTTAGCAAGCCTGACCCAACTCTAGTGGAAAGTCATTCATATTGCCCCAACAGTCAACAAAATGCATGGTTTTAGTTCAAATTCGAAAATGGCAGGAATTTCATTTTCAGATTTCCCGGTCAGGAAAACACTATAGTATAGTTTAAAAAATGAATGAAAATGAAAATTTTTTTTTGTAAACAGGAGAGAGCCAGGAAATCAAAGGGCTGCCCATAATTATAGATTTGGAGGAATCTTAAAGGTTTTTTTACCCCTCTTTTAAATTTTCAATTTTACAAAAGTACAATCGTAACTCTCAGCCCGTGATTCCAGTTTTTTTTTTTTTATTTGCCATTCGACTACCCCAACACATCCTCACCTTCCCATTGTTTAAGTTAGAAAAAGTCAGATCCGAACAACCTATGTTATTAGGTCACTTGAAGCTTAATTTTACACTCTCTGTGCACTGAGCCCTTGTACTGTAGTCAACCAGTAACACTTTTCCCTTTAGAAGAATGTTTGCTTGGAATGAGGCCGACATTAGTTTGACAAGGTGTTAAAAAATTCTTGCACCTCCGGCCATAGATGTGTTGTTGATGATGGCCTAGACCAGTGAGAGGATTAATTTTTTTTTTTTCAATGGATAAAATTTGATACTTGAAACAATCAGCTGCGATGCGTGGCATGTAGTGCAGTGAATATACAGTTAAGATAAAAAATTTGTGACGCATCCTGTTGGTTTCTTTTGTTTGTGCAAAAGTCAAGCCAACAGCCAATAAAGTAACACCACCAACCCCCCCACCCCCCTCTTTTTCCTAACTGGACAACGATTACCCTACCAAGACCTCTTTCTTTCTTAAATGCCTATAAGTTGTTTACGTTGCACTTATATCCTATAATCCCTGTCCTTGAGACTGATTCCCCAGGAAAAGGCACTGTCTATGATGACCATGTTAGGATTTTTATCTTGCATTTCCGTTCATTTCTTCTTCCTGGTTCTGTCGTCTTTAAAAATACAAAAATCACTATGAAAATGGTTAGAAAATTCAGGAGGAAAGCGAGGGAAAAAACCCCCCCCAATTTTTTTCTTTCTCCTTGATGAGTGGGAACCCTGATTATGGGATTGATGGTGATGAATAATTGTAATAAAAATAAAAATGAGGACTTTTATTTTGACTCTGGCTGTTTTTCTTATATTTTTATGCTTCTTTTTTATGTGACAATTATAGCTTGTGATAAAAGAAGCTAATAAAGCGGGCCACAGATTTTTCTCGTTTAAATCTGGCCATATTGTTGGTTTTTTGCCTCCAAAAGTAGTCAAATTTATGTCTAAATGTTCATTTCTATTATATTATGTAATTATGCCTTGTTTTTTTATTTTTAATGTTTGCAGCAAAATGGGTCTTCTCAGCAATGAAAAGCAGAGGAATAGACTGGTGAAGTTCTTGCAAAACCATCATGCTAAGCTGTCTGCTTTGATGTACATTGTGGGACTGGCCTGGTTTCTTGCTTTAGCCTACCAACCTTTCAATGCTGGAACTTACTTTTCGGAAAACGCTTTGTTGCCAGGTAATTCAATTTTTAATTTATAAATTTTACTACGAACTGAAATTGAAAAGAGGAGAAGAGGGTAGCATGATTTATTTTCAAGGTGATAGGAGATGGAAGAAGTAGAACTTGTGTCTTTACTTTTTGCTGTTCATATGTGTTACAGTTACACTAAACACTGACTCTGTGATCATGTAAGTGAAGAGAATCAGGGAGCCATTTCATCTTCATCTGACTTGTGATTTTTAAAGGATTAACTTGAAAGACTTGACATTTGGTGCCAAATAAGTCAGTGTCAAATAAAAGAAAGAGTACAGTTATTCTACTGAAGAAAAAAAAACCCATCCACAAGGAATGAAAAGTAATGACTAAATGATAATTGACCATTTCTAAGACCGTCTCTGATTTTTTCTGATGTTCACCAGACACCCTAGCACTGAAGGTCCTGTCCAGTGATATTTTTTTTTTTAAGTGCTAAATCTTAAGTTGCTGAGCTTGTACATTTTGTTTGCCATGTTCTTTAACATTTACAGTACCGAAGGCTCATATATTGTAGTGAAAAACCCTCAAGTACCGCTCCAGTTTAGAATTTTTTTGAATTAAAAAAACTATGGCAGCCCAAGGAACACTCTTTAAAAATGATAGAGGTTCATCAACCACTGAGCTATCATATAGAGTGACTTCCTTTGGTATTTACTTCGGTATAGTGCGTCCATTCGTCAATTGATTATGTTTAGTGTGCCTAGTCACGTCGGTGACTAAAGTCTTCAGCGGTAGTGAGCACATACTACGGCCTGGTGATTTAAGTCACCGACGGTACTGTAAGTGTTAAGTTGGCTCAAATTCTGTTTTGGATTGCCTGCTTGACTGGTTTTCTTTGATCGGGTCATATGAAGTATTGCCAATGGAGGGTTGTATTAGATCCAGTAAGGATTGAAAAGATGTTACCTCTGTGGTCCGTTTGTCATAGGATTGTGCTAGGCTGGTGGAGTGTCCAAAAAACTACTGTGGTTCAAGTTAAAAAATACTCAGTAGTGCATCACATGCTTAGTAGTTCAACACAAGAAGAAAAAACTGCATCCTTTTATGGATTTGAAAATTTGTGGATTACTGTGTAAAGAATATATTATAGAAGAGAGATAAATTGTTTGATTTTTTCCCCTTTCTTATAAAGAAACCAATTGTTTTTTGTAAGGTGTGTTGTTTGTTACTTCAAATAATTGCACATCAGTTTTGATAACCTCATTTCATATATATAATTTGAATTTGTTTCAGGTCTGGTGGAATCTGAGCTTCCACATGTGTTGACCAAGGCATTTAATTTGAAAGATGAAGTCAAAGCTGAGATGAACAAAGATCAAAAGTAAGTGTGGATTTTAGTCTGTACTTTTGAAGTCAACCGTAGTACATGTACACATTGGACGTAGCTTTGTCGAATACTTTAAATTTAATGGCCCCTTAATTTGTGTTTCTACCCTTGTCAAGCCGCAGCATGTTCGGATGATGCAGTGCCTGTTAGATGGATACCGGCATCTTATTATTTTTTTTTCTGTGGTAAAAGATTGCCAGGAAAGGGAACAATGTTCTTGTGAAACTGAAACTTAGTCAGTTTTGTTTTTTCAATGTTTCTTTATCTTGTGATTCCTATCTCCCTTTAAAAACAATACAAGTCCAAATGCCAAGCAAGCAAAGATGAAAGTGTTTGTGAATGACAAACTTGAAGATGATGTTGTTTTTTCTTTTGTGAATGAGGTGGTAATGAATTATTTCCATTCAAATGAAATATTCAGTCCAGAAATGTTTATTTTTCTGTAATGGCAAGAGTAAAAGTAAAATAATCCTTGGGTCTGATCTACTGTATTCCGTTACCTAAGAATTACAAAGTTTTATCTGCTTATAAAAATCTTTACATAAAAATTTTGCAATATGTCAAGCTTTTTCTAATGTAATTCTTTGAATATCTTGATGACGACTCAGAATATTCTTATGATTTTGGTAGAGCAGAGAGAGCATTTGATTTCTGTTCTCATAGCCTTAGTAACTCAAGATGGCCTAAAATGTCAGATGGAAATTTGTAATTCTGATATAGCAATAAGTGTACTTTTGATAGCAAAGAGAAAATGGAGGATATTATTATTTATTGCATGCATGAGGCTTTCCTGAAGTCTCACAGGTTCATTTATGAGGGCTTGTATGCATAAACATAGTTGTGATCAGGAAAAGTTTGGGTTTCTATAAGTTATTCTATGTTTAAAAAGATGTTTTACATTATGAGTGACAGTTTTGTTAGCTGTTTAATACACATTTTGTTTTTGTCTCCAGGGTTGCTCCTCAGAGTTGGATATTTGAAAAATTTAGAGCTCTGGGTCTGGACACATACCGTCATAATTTTTCCGTTATTTATCCTTTCAAAAGTATATCTAAAAAGGTATGTATTACCTATGTGTCCCTGTCCTTAATAACTGTCAGTTTTTAGAACACAATGATTTTTACCTGGGAACTATCATTGTGCTAGTAACCGCCCGATTCTCTTATTTTTTCTCTTTTTGTTTTTTAATTTCGGCATGTTGTTCCTAACTCTTTATCTCCGGCCAGCGCTGGGCTTTGACATCAAATTACTTTTTGGCAATTGCCGAAAACAGGTCTCTTTTACCAGGATTCCATTCGTTAGATGTACTATCAAAATAGATTTTCTTGTTTTGATTTAATGACCAATTCACTGGCCTATATGTTACTTTTAGATTTTGTACCCAAAAGAGGGCCCGGCATACCCGGCATAGTGGGTTTACACCTCCCCCCCCTCCCCCCCACCGTAGCATGGCCTATAATCTGTCCAAAGTGCTGTAAAACTCAACTTGACGTTAAATAACTTTAAGTATCTGCTCAGCTAATTGTGTTGACTCTTTTCCTCCTTTTAATTCACTGTCCTCCCTCATTTTGGGAGTTTCAGAGAAATTTCTCCTCCTTTAGTGAGTAGAAATACATAGCTTCATTTCTTTGTGTAAACTAAATGGTACTTTGTGTGCTGCTAGAGAGCACCAGTTGTACATCTTTCTTTTCCCTTTTACTCTGATGTTTCTGTCTGACTGTCTGTCTTGCTTATTCCCTCCTGTAAATGACAATATAAAAATATGTCTATGTGCTTTTTTTTTTACTCCCAACAAAACCAGCAAATGGTACTTTAAATTTATTTTTATTCCACTTGGATTCTCTGGTGTTGTGCTCCCCACCATCTTATGTTCAAATGATTGAAGAACTCCTCCGGTTCAAATCTGTCATGGTTACACTGTTGTTTTTCCCAGTTGTTAATGGTGACCACTTATTATGAGGATCTGGTTTGGTGGCTGGTCAGGTCACCTGTAGCCAGTAGCTCCTTTTGTGATTAAAAATTAAAATCTCACCCGTAGCTATAACGATGGTAGATGAGATCAGTAAAATCTTCCATGGTAAAAAGTCAGCACAAAGAAGTTTAGCTTCAATGTGTATTTCATGTTTTCCCAGGTTGTACAAGGGGAGAATGTCTTCGCCATTTTGCGAGCACGTCGGGCTGCTAGCACTGAGGCTCTCGTCTTGTCAGTTCCCTTGAGACCTCTTGCCAACAAAGCAAAACCACAGACAGGCGGGGGTATTGCTCTAGCACTGGCTCTGGCCTCAGAGTTCAAGCGTAAGTCAGCTGGGATTTTTCAGTATATGATTATATATGTAGGAAAGAATTGTCTGACAATTATGCAGAATGTGGTCTTGCTTCCTTCAGCAGATATTTTTTTTCCCCGCAGTACTAACTGTGGGTCAAATCATGCGGTCATAATGTTATTTGATAGTCCCCATCATATCTTTCAGTCTGTGTGGGTCCTATTAAAACCTTTTTCATATTTGTACTTGGACTTTCTACTGTTTTATAGTGAAAGATGTTTTGACAAAACAATATAAGTTCATTTTAATGTATCATTTTAATCTTTTGCTGTTGTTTTTTTTTAAAGTGGATACAAATGAGAACATAAATATTAGGTTACTTTAAACTTTGGGTACATTAGATAAGTGTTTGTTAATTATCAAAATAGATTGTTACATAAATACTTTGAATAAACCGTTTTTGTGGAAAATGTAGTCATCATTTTTTAATGTACTAAGTTGAATAAAATGTCAGCAACAAATTTCTGTCACTTTATTTCTGTATACAGTCCAACCCGCTCGAACCGCCCCCTGTATATCAGACAATCACCTATACAAACGGCCGCTTCCCTTTTCCCCCTGTGTGTTTTCTTTAACATTACAGTGACACTGTAAGGCATCCCCTGTCGAAGAGGACTTCATTTCTCCCTGACAATGGATGACAGTTTTAATACTGACAATATATGCCCGCTGTCCAAAGGTTTTGATTTAGTTTTTGTATGAGTTTACCGTCTTACAACATGTATACAAGAAGATCATCTCGGAGGCTGAGCTTGCCTTGTTGAAAGAGTGAAGAAGACTGGAAAAATGTAGAAATGAAACACATTCATAAGATTATAAAAGTTCATGTGGGCTTTTTCCACCATGAAACGGATCGCACGTCCCTCTGGGAGCCTTTGATGTGTAAGTATTTCTTGTTTAACACAAAGTATTTTATTTCAGAGAAAGCATATTGGTCCAAAGACGTGATCTTTCTCTTCACGGACTATGATGAGGTCGGAACCACAGCATGGTTGGATGCCTACCATGAGTCAAAATCTGAATGTGAGTCTTGTTGATTCTTTTTGACTTGTAGAGTTAATTTTTTGTGCATTTTAATATCTTTAAGATGACCACTGTTGTAACAGCCGTCAATTGTAGTCCCCAAATGTATTCATTGACTCTTTCAATCCCGTGACCGAGATATCTTGGTCAGCTTGCGGGCTGCGTTCAACCCCACAACCAAGATAACTCGGTTTTATAGTTTTGTTCCGTATACTAGTTAGTTCATTTCGGAAAACGATCTCAAATTTTATATAAGGTCAATATATTATTTCCCTTCCCAATTCTGCCTAGAGGAGAGCTGGAATTTTGTTTCTACCGTCATTACACTAGGAGAAATAGCGCTTTTTATGGAGATACTTTCAGCAGGTTTGTTCACACTGGTCAGCTGAACATGTCTCGCTATCGATTCTCTTGGCCTTTCTCACACATACATTTTTTTTATTCATGAAAGTATTCAACAGTAATTATTATACATGACATACTCTACAATACATAGATCAAAACATTTACAAGCATATTTTGAATATCAATGTAGGCTTACTCTTGCTCATTCCCCCATGAAAAAAAAATAATAAGCCCCCGAAATGCCGAATTTGTACAACACTCCAAAGCAAACCTATCATGGCCAGAGATTACACCTCGCGTTTCCTTTTTCCGTTGCGTTTTTGTCATTTTCCTATTTAATAATAATCTTTTCACAACTTTAAGTTCAGTCGGAGACCACAGAAATTTAGTCTTTTTTAAAAATTTCAATCATATTGCAGACATTGTAAGTGAACATCTGGAGGGTCGCAGTGGTCCCATCCAGGCAGCCATCAACCTGGAGCTGCCACTGGAGAAGGTGAGCTACTACAACCTCAAGCTGGAGGGTCTCAATGGTCAGCTGCCTAACCTGGATCTGGTCAACCTGGTGGTCAAGCTGTGCCGCAAGGAGAGGGGCCAGGTCACCTTGCATCACACCATGGTATGGCCAGAGCTGTTGTTATGTTCATTTGTTTATAGATGGCATATTTTCGGCACCTCTCAAAAGTTTTTCACTGTTTCATTCTTTTATTGTCATGATCAATTTAAAAAAAAAAAGCAATGTATGTCCTTGTCTTCTTTATTTTGTTTTTAAATTTTTGTTTCAATCAAATTCCAAGATAAAGAAATAAAAGGAGATGGATTCTTTCTCCCCCCCCCCCTTCTTGTAATTGAACAGATTTGAGATGTCCTGTTTCCGTATGATTTTTATGTAAATGAGAGGTTCTGTCCTCTTTTCTTTGTGTGTGTGTGTAGTTCATCATACTCAAAGAAAAGAATTCCTTTATGATCCAAGGACATTTTTCAAAATATCTTTCTACCCTCATACTCATTTGAAGTATCCCAAAACATTAAATCTAATCACTCGATGTTTGCAATGCTCAAAGTTTGTTTTTTTATGGTTAGAGCTGAGGAGCCTCCGATAATCTTTTCAAAATATTCCAGCCTCGGACTGGAGATTTATTTTTCCCCATGTTTCCAAATGTATTTGTATGGCAATCAAAGAAAATAGTGTAATAAATGGGTACATTGACAGAGTGCATTTGCTGCCACTTTTCTTGTGGCATGATAAAGTGACTCTCGCAAATTAAGAAAAAATTACTTTTTGTTTTAGCGTTGTTGGTTGTTTTGTTTTGGGGTTTTTTTTTGGGGGGGGTAGTATTATGAAGTCCCTAGTGAGAAGTAGCACTCTAAATAAATTGTTGTATATGTCCATTTAGGAACCAAAACTTCGTAGTTACTACGGTGAGGGAAATGGCGAGTCTTTCCAGGAGTACAAGACTGCCCTTACTACCATGATGCGGATGATGTGGTACCAGGCTAGTGGTGCTCCCTCTGGAAACCACGGATTGTTCCATAGGTTCCACATTGAGGCTTTAACTCTCGAGGGAGTGAAAGACAAGAAGAGTACAAGAATTCATGATCTGACAGCCTCAGCGAGGTATTTATTTTTACTCAGCTCATTTAGTTTGAGCTCGTCAATTTTTGGGCATGTGGAGTTATTGGTATCATTGTAAAGTTTATTCATTTGCCTTGTTTTGGATGAAAAGAATCTCCATCTATCTTGGGTAGAAACGGAAATATTTGTGATTGATGGGGGCCACCTTGTTACTGAGGTAAAATTAGCGAGAAAATGGCCACTTCAATAGCTTGAGAGTCGTTCAAAACTGAAAATGTAAATTTATTTTGCACCTTAAATCAACGTTTTTCCATAAACTTCGCATCGAAATGTGTTTTTAAATAGGTAAAAAGGGTGTTGAGCCAAAAATACAAACATTCAATAAGACTTGCAAACCAGCAGAAAAATGCTTGTTTCATCAATTTAATTGTTTTGACAGGTGTCTGATTTCACCATGATGCCTCCCATATATGGAATAGATTTTTGTTGATGGTGTCTGGAGTGTAAAGTTTCACTGACTTTTTTCAGCCCTGAATATTACTTCAGTAACAAAAAATTATTTTAAATGAATTTAATTAATTTAAAAGTTTCAAAACTTGTTTTGGAAAAATTCAACAGACTGGTTTGAAGAGCCGTTGTTTCTCACCATGCATGCAAAATGACAATTTATTTCCTTTGAAAATAAGTGAAATATTAACTTATTTGACACATCAAGGAATTTCAATATGGATGCTGTTTCCATGGCAACGAATCTTTAAAATAAAATAATAAACATTGTACTTTTGTAAAATTCACACTATTTTACATAAGTGAAATGGTCAAATGTGGCCCACAAATAAGCAAGATAACCCTCAGCTACCACCGCCTCTTAATTGTCTCAGGACCAAGATTGAACCTGTACGATTTTCACAAAGGCATTTCTTGTCTTATGAAAGGCTTGAGTAGATCAGCTTTTTCTTGCTCCGTGAACCAGTCTGCATACCTCTACCCTCATAACATTAAACAAGGTCTGGACACGTGCTAAATGGTTTGCTTTTCATGTTTCAAATTTTTGTGTGTCTTTTCTTGCCTGCAGAATCATTGAAGGAGTGTTTAGAAGCTTGAACAACTTGATGGAACGATTTCATCAGTCCTTCTTCTTCTACATCCTTCCTTCAACCAACCGCTACGTATCTATCGGCATGTACATGCCACCATTTGGTCTGATGGCTGCAGCAGGACTCATCACAATATCCTTTTTTTTTCTGTGACCTTGTCACAGATTTGTTTTGGTCGTGGAAAAATAGTAGAAAAACAATTTGTCTCTTTTCTTACCAAGATTTTTCAACCTCAAGGGGAAAATTGTTCACCTGTTGTCATCAATACGTTAAGTGTCCTAGATCTAGAAGAGGAACATTAAGTCTGATTCTGTTAGTTACAGTTTTCCTATTTTATGGATGTGCGAGATGAAACAGGATCTTGGGGGCTTTTTCTAAGGTTTTGGGAAAACGTTACTTAAACTAAAGCTTGTCAGACTTGTCTGCTTATTAGTTTACATTTCAGTTTGAACCTTTATTATCTGTCATCCATTATTTACTTTTTTTCAAACTTTGTTCTCCTAATGTTGGTGTAACACTGAGTTTTTTCTGACTCTCTAGGATTTTTTACCTTCAAAGTTTTGTTTATTATTATTGTTTACTTCTGACTGTCTAAGTTGGTAGATTACATTGAAAATTGACCTTGACTCTCTCTATGGCATTGCGCTGTGGCTGATCTCAGGTGATGAAGCTGCTGCAAATGCTGTGGAAAAAGAGAAAGAGGCTGACCCTGCTGGTACTAGTTTGGATGGTAGGATGTTTTTTATTTTGTTCAGGAATAATTGAAGCATCACTCAGTTTGATAGTGAAGCAAAGAATCATCGGAGCATAAAATTTTCTATTGAACTTAATCTACTAACATGCATCTTTTCTGTCTTTTGGAATTGAAAGACTTGCTCATTAACGAACTTGCCAGGTTATTTTTAAAATCTTTTCTTTGTCGGGGCACATTCATAATAAATTCATTTAAAAGCATACGTTTGTGTGTTGTTTGCTCACGGGAGAGAGAAGGTAAAAGAAAGAGAGACCCTATTTATTCATGCATTTTTTGTTATTTATGAATAAGCCTATTTGTTCATATTGTGACGAAGTGACATTGATTTTTGTATGATAAGGAGAGAAAGCAGGAGAAAATAAAAGAGAAAAAGCGATTTATGAAATCAAGTTTTGTCTGTTCCTTCAGGTAGTGAAAAAAGCAAAACAAAAGCTGATGCTGACAAGTCGGAGCAGGATGCAGAGGAGGAAGATGATGAGATGGTAAGTGATAATCTCATGATTTTTCAAGCATTGCTATTTTTGCTCTGACATTCTGTAAACTTCAGGTCTACTCATCCGTGTCTTCTGTATCACAAGGTTCAACTTACTGATTACCAGCCATTTTGGTTGAATGAACCTAAGGGACCAGCCTTTTGAAGGATATTTTTTAAAGTCATACTGTCACTACTTATGCAAAGATGCTTACAAAATTTAGCATTCTAGACATACATACAAATAAAGTTTGTAATGAAAGAAACAGAAAGGAATAATGGAGTTATGACTTTTCGGTTTGAATCTATTTTTTCACATTATTTTTCAGACGTCTCATTTAACGGTGTATATGTATATTTATTTAAGGATTGCACCCTGTGGTAAAATTAAAGAATATTCTCCCCCAACCCAAATTAGAATGTGCTTGATACAATGCGCTGATCTCTGTCACTCTGGGGTCACAGTTATGTCGTATAGGAAGAGGAAACAGCTGGCTGTCATGGTCATGATGCTTGAAGGCTGGGGATTTATACTCTATTTTTATGCTCTTTTTTTGTTTGATTAGGAACATTGCAGGTCGGTGATTTTGAGGCTGTCAGACTATTGTTGTAAACCTATTGGCTGCTCATTTTAAATCGCCAAGCAACACCTGCATCACACATCTTTTAGGGTGTCATTATCAGGAAGCTCATAGTATTTGATATCCAGATAAAACATGAACAAGTGTCGGTACCACATATTTTTCTTTTATATTTTTCTTGTTTCAAGTTCTACTCAACCCTTTTAAGAGTTTTTCTCTTTCAAGCGCTACAATATAATTATAAGATTTTTACTCTATATTTTCCACCCAGGACCCCATCTCCACCACAGGTATTTTGACAGTGATACCAGTGATTTTGGTCTGCTTGCTGCTGGGCTGGCTGGCCTACCAGGGCCCCGAGCTGCTGACTCGCATCATGCCCAAGTTCCGCATCCACACAGAGGACATGGTGCTTTACAGCATGCTGGCCATCTACACGGCCGCACTCATGTACCCAAAACTCATGACCAGGTCTGCTGTTTTCTGAACTCGCCTGCTAAGGCTCAGGGGTTGTTTGTTTTATATGGTTTTTCTACAGGATATTTTGTCTATTCTGAACGCAATATGCGTCATTTCGAATGCTAAGCTCTCTGTCCCTCCTGTAGGATTCCAGGAAGTTACAAAATATGCTAGGAAGATTGAGGAAAATAATTGTTCTGTGAGGTTCAATCTCACACTTCCTTATGACTGGTCAAGCTTGTAATGTACAGCACCCCAGAGACTGGCGAGGAGAAGTGTCCTGTAGGTTGCTCTACTGCGTTTTATTTTGTACTGTGTGAGAGAAAACTCATGGGGTGAACGGACAGCAAGAGATCTTCAGTGGAAGAACCCCCTTCAAGCAAGTGTTTCGGCCTTAAATACCTGACACTCTAAGGGGGCCGGGCCACACTTGTGTCATGACTCCCAAGCGCTCTCCTGCCTTTTTTTTTCTCTTGGTCCTGATTGAGGGTTGAGCCTAAGCGGCTTTTGGGCTTCTCCGGTTCTTCAGTCCGTAAATCTGTGTGCGATGAAACGAAGTTTCCAGTGGAAATAGAAAATGCGAAGATGTATATATCTATTAGACTTTTGGATGAATTTCCTTACTTCTTTCCTGTTCCATTTTTAAGTATTTTCCTTCTAGCACATTCTGTCTCAGTCACCTACACATGATGGAGAAAACAAGAGATCTAGTAATTATCTTACAGATCACAGGCCTTAAAATGCATCCAGAGAAGACCAAGACACTAAGGATCAGATTGCCTTCAGCAGAACACCTTGAGAGGAAGTTGATCTATTCTTATCTTTTAAGTGTAATAACAAATGTCGTTAAAGTCGTTGTCTCTGACGTTACTTTTCCACAGGGATAGTTAAGAACAGTAGGAATATCTCATCAAATTTTTTCTTTCCCTGCTTGCGAAGATTTGTCATCAGTTTTGTTGCCTCTGACATATAACAACAAATCTCCTCCTCTCCTCTTGACTCTCTGCTTTCCTCAGTGTGTCCCGCAGGTCCACGACTGTCCATTCTCAGATGTTATCCTCCCATCTCTCCTTATACCGGGTGCCCATTGGCACGACCGGGTCAAGTTGGTTTGCTTGCCAGATTTAGGACGCAAAGCGGCTGTCGTGGCATAAACCAATCACTCGACGCGTTTGTTTTCATGCAACAGTTTGGGTGATAGACCCTACCTGATCCCATCCGTAATGGGCTCCTGGTATTTTGTCTGCCTCTCCTTCATCTTCCCTGTGCCGTGCCTTGTAGAATGGTTATAGCCAGGCCTGAAAACGGGTGACATGGCCATACCATTTTAGCTTGCTTTACTTGACCAATGATAGGAAGTGCTTACATAGAGCTTTTGTCTTCAAATTTTGCATTCGTCTGATAATAGAATTATGTCTTCTTTGCAGGAAATCTGGTAACCCCAATCGGCTCATCGTGGACTGGCGTTTGCTCAAGTCAATTGGTCTAATCAGCCAAAGTTTGGCCTTAGCCAGCATCTCTCTTACCAACATCTCGCAAGCATTTTTCCTCACAGCCTTCATGGTTCCAGTCACCACTTTTGTCAGGCCTAGCTCATACAGGTGAGGCACAATGTCAGTGAGTCACTGTATTTGTTTACTTCTTTGAGACCATGACAGCTGCATTTGGATTTGGCCAACAACATTCACAAAGGTCCGCAGTACTGCGACCCTAATAATTATGATCGGCAGTATCAAGGAGGAAGGCAAATTTTTTAGTGCATATTCTTTCTTACTGAGAGAAATGCTTTTGGAGTGCCACTTAAATATTATACCTTATGTAGTGCTGTGTAGAGTCGAAATTTAAAATTCTCTCAACTCTTCATGTTGCCATGGAAACGACAGCCATATTAGATTTTTTGCTTTTTCATGGGAAGGGTAGAATTTTCTTTATAATTTTTTTTTTGCATGATAAGTCTAATTTTTCTGTTCAGTCCCCTAGTAGACATGTTGCCATAGGTCACTGACGGGATAGAATATATCTGTGAGAATTTTTTAAGGTGGCAGTGCAACTCAAAACTCGAATGATAAAAAATGGGTGAGGGATCGGGATGGATAAGTTAGACCATAATAAAAATGCAATAATAGCTAGTACCCCATATCTAATTCTTTAGTGACTGGTGCAACATTTTGAAGTAGATCTACATACATGCCAAATTTGAAGAAAACATCTTAATAGACTAAAAAAATGATTAAGAAAATAGTGACCGGAAAATGCAGAAAAAACAGTTGTTGGTGTGGGTGGTTAGTACACATACGGATTTAGATAATTTGGCTAATTATTTGATCAAACTGACAAGAGCTGCATTGCTTGATTATTCAATAATTGCAACATTTTCCTACTTCTGCTATGGTCCTATCACATCATATGGTCTCATCATTATTTAGGCAGAGGTTTGCTAATAATATCAAGCAAAATTGTTTACGTGGCTTCTAGATGGATGCCCTTTGGAGTAATACATGACAATGCAAGCTCATGAAACAGCATTGCCATACGCCAATTTGCAATGATGTGTTTGTGAAATTATTTGTTGATGATATCATTAGGCTACGGGGTGTGATGTGTATTTGTGGCTTCCAACCTATTGAGTGTTTCATTTGTAATATGCTATGGTAACCCAAATTTTCTCTTGCTGGTAAATAAAGGCATTTATTCCATATGACCTCTACTAAGGCTGATGACAGCGTGCTTCTCAACTGTTTTTATATTATTATGAGATGCTAAATAAAGTTTGCTCTCTGACATGAATTTTTTTTTTCTGTTGCTACCTTCTCCCCAGATTCCTGCGTTGGGTGCAAATGTTTGCCCTGGTCCTGGTCTCTCCTCTAATGCTCATGTTCCTAGTGGGCTTCATCACTGTGTGGCCACAGCCGGACGTGTTCAGTCTGTTCCTGGAGGCTTTCAACTCTACCAAGGAGCTTATCTTCCTCAGCGTCATGGACAATTATCTCTTCAATGCCTGGACTGAGTCCGTCATCACCGCCATTGTCTTTCCTATTTGGCTTTTCTTTTGGGCCATTCCCTGGGCGGAACCTTAGGAAATGTGAAAGTTTGTCTCTTTGTCTGCGTCATCAACAGTTACACCGGTGGAACCACGAGCCTGTCTCTATTTCATTACCATCGTGCAGTTTGTGGTCCCTGGCAGTAACTTGTGCTTTGAGAAATAAAGTACTTTGTCAGAGCTGTGAGCTGAATTGACTTCTCATACTATGGGCTCACCGTTTGAATATTTTATTTTTACAGCCAAAGTGTGTCACAAGCCTCACATATCCATAGTTTCAACGTGCATAAAATAAGGACATTTATTGGTTCTTCTGTGGGTTTAAAAAAAAAAATAGTTATGAAAACAAATACTTTTATTGCTTTCTTCAGCAAAAGTTGATCACCTATCTTCCTCTTTAGAATACTTTTTCATTATTTTGATGCTTAGCTGATTTTACTTCTGAGCTTTGAAAGCAGGAAACATTATTGATCACAACGGACTTTTTAAACTTTTGTCACAGAGACTAGGACACGAATTCAATCTAAAACGTTATATATTTTTCAGTAAAACTTCACCTCCACTTTTATGTTTTCATGCTTTTTCAAGCTACTGTTTCTAAGTTGAAGTTCTAAATTCCTACCAATAGGTACATTTCCATCTGAAGGGCAGTCGATTAATTGCTTATGATTTGTAACTGTTATAGCTTTGCACTGCCTTATACATTGTTTTATGTAATAGAAATGCAAATAAGTGGAGTCTGCTCACTTAAACCAAACACAGTTAATCCAAAAACAGCCTTAACCTTTAAAACCCTATACCGCTGGTAACTGCTGGTCGACTTTATCGTTTAATTCCCAGTGCTAGAAACAGGGGATGTAACTCCAGATGACTCTGTTGCAAGCAGAAAGTACCGATAATGTCATGAGAGCAGTTCTACACCGAAAGTTTGGAAATTTTGCGATTTTTAAAGAAAAATTAGTCACTTTTGGCTGCCAGGCCCTTCAGACCGCAAAATTTTTGACATTTTTTATCCTAACCAGACCCCAATAATGATCTCCCAGTCGGATATATCAATAAATATGACCGTTGAAAACGATTGCAATGTTCCGCATAACATCGATGATGATTTTGACGATAGTGGAATTGGCAGGGGATCACCATTAAAGCTACCAGAGGCTAGATCTACGGCTGGGTCTAATGATACTTTGACTGAAGTGGAGTCGGGGATCACACACAAGACTTAACTCATAGAGTTGGTCCTAAAAACCAGTGTTTTAACCTTTTACCCTTTTGTTCAGACTGTGCATTCATATATATATAAATAACATTTTCAAACTTCAGTAAAATCTAACAACAAAGACACAGTAAAGAAAATAATGAACCAACCTAATTTTTTCTAGTATCTCAATTTTAATTCAGGATTCTAGGGAGGTATGAAAAAAAAGAATTCAGGGTTTTAAGGGTTAAACCGTATGAAAATAGAACTGATTTTTTTCTTAACTATTTGAACAACCTCCCTAAACCCAAAACACAGTGAAACCCCCCAAAATCCAGCGGTCCTGTGGATATCAGATTAAACGGACTCCGCTGTTGTTCTTTGTTTTTAAAGGGTTTTTTGTTCAAAATCTAAAGTCATTATATGTTGCTTGCTATCTGTGAATAGTACTTGTGCTGTACCATGTAATTCCGAACATGACATGTTTCTAGTTCTGGAACTAGTCGTGAGTTGTCCGAATCTTGATGTTACAGAAGATGCCGCAGGAAATTTTAATTTACCAATATTTGGGTGTTTAATTTAGTTGTAACGGCCACTTGCAGAACTGTTGGCATAAAAGCAAATTATGCATCTATTATTTCAATGTTAGAATACTTACGTATTAAAGACCTTGGTTATTTATATCTACTATATTATTATATTGAAGCATACTTTTCCTTGCTCAGAATGTTTCCACCTATAAGGCTGTATGTGTGCTCCAGATTTCAAACTAAGTTGGGAGAAGGGTATGTATGTTACTGTTTTGAGAGCTTTTGCATGTTGCTTTGACTTTGAACACCGACAGTTTGGCCGAATCGAATGTGATGTTTCTCTATGCGGGAGTGGAGATGCGCTGTATTTATGTGTTATCCCGTGAGCTATTGATGCAGTACTTACTTTTTGCCCTGATACTTTTCTTTCATGATAGAAGAGAGTTCCCATCAGAAAGGTTTGTGGTCTGTGTTCATTTGAATAGTCAAAATTGTGGCACCGTGCTATTGTTTAAACTGAATGAATGGGTCCTGTAGACTGGAGCAGAGTGCTTGATCGGTTTAGGAGAGTTATGGGAGATGTAAATTGAACATTTGAGCAGTGCAGTCTTGGATGTTATCTTCACACCGTTTCACTGTTTGAGTTGAGTAAGCAGACTGCAACATTTGTATGGGTGGAAGGCAACAACAGTTAGTTTTGTTTACTTTTTAGATTTCTACTGTTTTTATTTCTATTGTAATTTTATCCAACATTAAATTGATGTTGCATTCCTCATTACTTGAACAGATTCTTGATTCGCCTCGCATATATATTATATCAAGATCATGTCTTTTTGCCTCAACATCCATGTGTTTTAGGGGGGAGGGGGTATTATTAGTAGGTTTAATGCAGGAAATTACGGGGGTTATTTGTCCTTGATCTAGCTATCTGTGATTTTGCTGGTATTTGTCCTTTCATTGTATTGATTCTGTATTTATTTTTTTCCCAACACATCAGGAAGTTCTCTAGGGTGGTGCTCTGTGTCCGTCTCACTTTTTCCAATCTAAATGACCATTATTGTGTCGATGTGCTTCTCTTTTCTCGAAGCTCAAAAGCTCAAATTCTATTCACTATTAACACATAAGTGGAAGTGAACTAGTATAGTTTTGCTTGGTCTATGGGTGCTCTGGTGTCTGTGTGGTTTGATCTTTCTTTCTTATCAAACATCCATTATGCTTAACTCTTTTTCGTATCTTTGTATGATATTCTCTAGAAGAAACACCTCTTATCTTTGGCACTTTTTATGACCTCTTTGTGTTGCCAATGTCATAAAACTCTTATCGAAACTAAAACTAAAATCTAGCTTGGTGAATTTTTAGCACCTTTCAGGACTAACAAAGAAAATATTCACTTTAAGGAATTTTTCTGAACAACCCTATCTGATTTTCTATATCTAATCCACAGTCTCCAAACATAAATTTTGCAAAGGTAAACACATCGCTTGTTTGTTTGCAAGTCACTTGTTTGTTACAACTATGATTATTTCAAATTTCAATCTTGTAAGTGAACACATTTTTTTTCACGGAGCATTGCTTTGAGCTATGGTCTTCACTGACCTGCCAGCCACGGGATGGCTGTTGCGAAGATGTTTATCAGTGGTTATTGTTTAGGTAGCTCTGGGATTCACAGTAAGGGTAAATCATTCCTACTTTGAGGACTCTACATTAGTACTTTTCTCTCTTTGTGTAAAGTCAACATGTAATCTTTTAATCATGTTGATGTGTTCCCCAATCTGATCACCAAAGGCACAGTTTTCAGCTTCTGTCATTCCATACCCATAATCACCTTATCATGTTACTTTGCTGGACGCTAGCCACCACACGTTGCCTACAAACCGTCTTAAGAAATTGGCAGTCAAAACAATGTGCTGGACAATCTGATAAAAGAGTGTGTTATTTTCACTGGAATGTGGATTGATAATTGTGTGTATAATTGTATTTATTCATTATGTCCTTTTCCAGTTACTGCTTTGGCATTTGTGGTGTAATGGTTGGATTTCATTATGTGTTAAAAAAATAACCCATGACAATTCCCATGCCGGGGAAGATATTCTAGCGAATGCCTCCGTCTTTTTGCTGAAATGTAGTGTCCCACACTGATCTTGTTGGCCCTGACAGGCACAACTGAAGCATCCCAACAATCAACCAGTAGCCTTTATTGAGGATGCAATCCTTGACTAAGATGTTGTCAGTTTCAGATGCTGTGTTCAAATCATTTGTACTGCTGTTGTCTTATCCAGACTGCCTAACTCCTCCTTATATAATCTTTTGGAAGGAGGAGTTCTGGACACAAGAAGAACAAATTTTCCACAGAGTGCCATACAGCTCTGTCAAATCCCATGAGTGTATCTCGGTTTTGTGTAGCTGTGACTGGAGCAGGAGGTAGTAATTATCTCTCACCCTCCTTCCCCTGTGTCCCTCCCTCTCTTTCTTCCTCTTTTCTTATCTTTCCCCCTCCCTCCCATGCCCATTCTGAGGCAAGGAGAAAAATAAAATTAATGTATCCTCTACCCCGAAGATATATTTGCATATTTTGCTGTATTGCGTTAAACAGTATTTTAGTTCTCTAAGTTTGTTGTGACTGAAGTTGTTACTGTGTGAGAAAAAATAATCATGATAATTTGATCATGTTTTTCTTTGCAAACCCACTCCAGTTAGATTGCAGTACTCAGGGGATTTACATTGCGGAAGCTGGACATTGGTACTGGCTGAAAATGAGTTTTTTTAAAATCTTTTCTTATAAAGAATGACGCAGATAGAAACAGTTTGGGATTCTCTTTTAAAAATATATTAAAACAACAATGTATTAGGGAAATTTGTTTTATGTGGACTTCACTGTGTTTTCCTGTCATCCACTGTCCTTTTTTTGTGTTTTAGAAGCAGTCTTGCAAATGAGGGACGGATGGGTCAGGAGTATGCTGTGTCTACTGTCCTGCTCCTTCGTACTCCTTTGTTTTGCCATGTTAACCTTTCATTGAAATGGGTTTACTTTGATGTATAATGACGCCATGTGCTATGTTCGTCCATACATTATCAGATAAAGTCCAAGCCCTAAGATTAATACTGAGAGAGAGAGAGAGGAGGGAGATGGGAGGAGAAAGAGAGGAGGGAGAGAGTGAGAGAAATTTTCTGTAAGTGTAAGTCGTTTGTTTGCTGAAGGTGTTTTTTTAAATTTTGTCTACTGTTGTATATGTACATATTTTATGAATGTTTTATAAAGTGTCTGTTGAGACGACTGACTGTACTTGTTTTGTCTTATTTTTTGTTGTAATCTGTTTCTGCATAACAGCAATAAATTAAGATAAAAGAATTGTGAACAAAACGGAGTCAACATAAAAAAAGAGAATGACTGAAAAAGTGCAATACAATTGCAAACTGGGTTCTAAACTTTATACTTTTTAAAGGCTCTCGCAAAAACTTGAAACGTCGAGTTATAAAAAATTATTCTGTGGACTATCATTGCAGTGCTGACCAGTACAAGTGTGTGTAGTAAGTGTTTGGCTTTGGCCTTTTCATTTGCTTTGCTGCACGCTGTATGTCATCATAGATAACGTGTGCACGCACTCTCTGTACTGTATGTGATAGGCACATTGCAATGTGTTCAAGCACTTCCACGAGCTTACCTGCCTTGGTTGCTGTGTTGATAAGAAGCTTGACCTCTACAAACAGAAGTTTCTAACTCCCAGTCCGGTCCTCATTAATCTTTTCTTCGCTCTTCTTCCTGTCGGTGAAGTGAGTGGCATACTCTCTCTCTCTCTCTCTCTCTCTCTCTCTCTCTCTCTCTC